TATGTCGGCACAAAATACGGATCTTTACGTTATAGTACTTAAACAATTAGCTAGTAAATATAAACACTACCACAGTCACACAATGATTGATCTTTATATAATAACAAATGATGCATAACAAACTGGCATATTTCACCACAGAAAACATTCATGTAAATATATACATATGTACGTTGTGTGTGTTCGTGCATGCACGCACACATGAGCACGAGAGTACATGTGAAGAGCGTGATGAAATTTTGTAAATATTCACATATTTGTATATGTAATGTTATGGTCAATTGTAACCAGCATTAAAAATACATACATACACACACACACACATTTTTATATATATAATATATATATATATATATATATATATATATATATATATATATATATATATATATATATTATATATATATATATATATATATATATATTATATATATATATATGCAATAAGATCACAGTAAACAGGTGATTTCAAAATATGCAAAACAACCACTCTGAAAGAATAGAGAAATTCCAAGCGCTTTCGTGACTACTCACATTATCAAGGAACTATGAAAGTAAAGCATCCAAGGAAGCTATATAAGGGGTCTGGCCAGCACCTCACTATCAGATCCCACAACGGTTAAACACGTGACGCGCGCCGACCCAACTTGGATAGGTCCTTTGCACAACTCACCCACAAACTATTCTACCCAAGAAAATTTAAAAATTATTATTTGTCCAGTGTATTATTAAATTCTTCCCAAATTCTATTAATTATAAATGGATCTAATATATAAACCAAAGGAAATATTCATATTATTGTCAAAACTGCTTTTTATGAAACAAGATTCAATTATATTCCTGTCGACCATGGACTTGCTTGATACTACTTTCTCTCAACTTTTTGAAAATCAATTGGATGGTTAAAATCTCTTACATGAATAAATAGAGCATTGGAATCTTGTCCAGTTCTAATGCTATATTTATGTTGTTTTAATCTTAGTTTGAGATTTTTACCAGTTTGACCGTAATAAACTTTATTGCAAATTTTACAAGGAAACTTATAGACACATCCATCAGCATTTTGGGGGGAATTCTTTATCAAAAGTTTTTTTATTGTATCAAGATTTTTGAATACAACTTTAATATTAAAAGTCTTAAGAAGAGAAGGCATATCAACCAAGTTTTCATGGTAAGGGAGAACCAACATATTTTTAGTTGAATAAGGCTGGTTGTCCCTTTTTGGGTATTTTAAATCATTACCTATTTCATAAATTTTGGATATTTCCTCATCTATGAACTCAGGACTACAAATTCGTAAAGCTCTCAAAAACATTGATGAGAAAACAGACAGTTTGACTCTACATCGCATCAAGATAGAGTCAAACTGTCTGTTTTCTCATCAATGTTTTTGAGAGCTTTACGAATTTGTAGTCCTGAGTTCATAGATGAGGAAATATCCAAAATTTATGAAATAGGTAATGATTTAAAATACCCAAGAAATGTAATTGATAAATCTTTTGAAGTTGCTAGAAATACTTTTTACAATCCAAAAAGGGACAACCAGCCTTATTCAACTAAAAATATGTTGGTTCTCCCTTACCATGAAAACTTGGTTGATATACCTTCTCTTCTTAAGACTTTTAATATTAAAGTTGTATTCAAAAATCTTGATACAGTAAAAAAAACTTTTGATAAAGAATTCCCCCCAAAATGCTGATGGATGTGTCTATAAGATTCCTTGTAAAATTTGCAATAAAGTTTATTACGGTCAAACTGGTAAAAATCTCGAACTAAGATTAAATTATTATTATAATCAAAAAGAAGCGCTAAGCCACAAGGACTATACAGCGCTAAGATTAAAACAACATAAATATAGCATTAGAACTGGACAAGATTCCAATGCTCTATTTATTCATGTAAGAGATTTTAACCATCCAATTGATTTTCAAAAAGTTGAGAAAGTAGTATCAAGCAAGTCCATGGTCGACAGGAATATAATTGAATCTTGTTTCATAAAAAGCAGTTTTGACAATAATATGAATATTTCCTTTGGTTTATATAAATTAGATCCATTTATAATTAATAGAATTTGGAAAGAATTTAATAATACACTGGACAAATAATAATTTTTAAATTTTCTTGGGTAGAATAGTTTGTGGGTGAGTTGTGCAAAGGACCTATCCAAGTTGGGTCGACGCGCGTCAGGTGTTTAACCGTTGTGGGATCTGATAGTGAGGTGCTGGCCAGACCCCTTATATAGCTTCCTTGGATGCTTTACTTTCATAGTTCCTTGATAATGTGAGTAGTCACGAAAGCGCTTGGAATTTCTCTATTCTTTCAGAGTGGTTGTTTTGTGTGTGTATATATATATATATATATATATATATATATATATATATATATATGTATACACACAATACAGTGGAACCTCTACTTGCAAATTTAATCCGTTCCATAACCTTGCTCGCAACTGGATTTGCTCGTTTGCAGAGTCAATTTTCCTCGTTTAAATTAGCTGAAGTGCAATTAATTCGTTCCAGTGGAATTCTGTACTTTAATAATTTCACTAATATCAACTTTACGGCTTATTTATCTATCACAATTAATCTAATATGACATAATAAACAATATAAATAATATAGAAACCTGATATGTACTCTAAAATTAATAAAATATGTCATTCATGTAGTGGTATGGGCTGTGTTGGGGGTGGAGGAGTTTGTCTGGAGACCAGACAAAGTACTTCTTGGATAATTTTGCTAACATCAACTCTACAGTTTATTTATCTATCATAGTTCATCTAATATGACATAACAAACAATATAATTAACATAGAAATCTGATATATACTCTAGAATGAATAAAATATGTCATTATGTAACAGGTGGAGGCAGCCACAACTGCTCCCTCTTTGTTGTGGTAACCACTGCCAGCTAGTGACAGCCTTTTGAAGCTGTCTGTTATATAATTATTATAATCTGTAGTACATTATTATTATAATGTAAAATTATTTAAACATATATAATTATTAACTGCTATTATTAAATATATATTACAATTAAATATTTGTATTTTTATTATCACAAATAATTAATTTACCCATTATCAATACATGCTTACAATATTTTAAAAAAATTGTAATTCCCATTCACACAATGGAATCTGACGTTTTGTTTGCGACTTGCCTATGCCAAAAAAATTGAAAATATTTCTCATGCTACATACAAAAATTGCAGTACTTTAATTTCAAGGTACTTTTCATCGTGAAAGCAATCAAAATCATATCTATTTCCGTAATATATCTTCCATTCTATCAAATGAGACCAAAAAAACGAAAATACAACCATAAAAACCATACAAAAATACCACTAAGGGGTGGCTAGTTGCTGAGAAGTGAACTCCATTATTTTTTGGTGTATGTTAAGATGCATCTTTACATCATACATTGCCCAAGTTTCAATAAGATAATCCAAGAAACAAATGAGATCCAATTCCCTAGATCAAGAGCAAGAGCCCCTCACTAGCGTCAAGGAACCTCCCTTGAGGTCTGCTCGCTTATGGAAATTTCGCTCGCATATGGAAGCAAAAAATCGACCCATTGCTTGTATTCGGAAAAACTCGCACATGGATGTGCTCACAAGTAGAGGTTCCACTGTGTATGTGTATATATATATATATATATATATATATATATATATATATATATATATATATATATATATATATATATATATATATATATAATATAAAATCACACATCACATGCATCATACACACACACACAACACACAAACACACAACGCACAACAGCACACACAGCACACACACACACACACACACACACACACACACACACACACACACACAGGAGCTCGGACTCGACCCCCGCAACCTCAACTAGGTGAGTACACACACACACTAACTAACTAACACTCTCTCACACTGTACTGTATATACACACACAAATGTGTGTAAGCTTGATTTTACAAATAAACAATGCTCCTTATTTAGGAATGGGTCCTACATGCCCTCAAGAGGGTTAGTAGAACTGGGAAACCATTCCCAATTGTGAGTTTTTGAGCAAGGTCCTGATTTTGTCCACCCAGGAAGTGTGGCCAGCAGGTGACAGGGTCTCTTCAAACTAATGATAGTGGGAGACACATTTGGAAAAAAAAGACATACTGGAATATCCAGTATTTGCTATAATATCAGAAGTGATAGACAAAAACTTGTAATACAGTACTAAAATTATGTGATTTAATTTGGTATGTTTAATATTAATTTATATATAATGAATTATTTAAAATACAATGCTTAGGAAAATTTAGTGCAATGCTTTTTTTTTTTACCTTATCAGACAAATTTTGCATAGATTAATCTTGAAGAAAAGTTTGCATGCTAAGCAGTGTAGATTGTTTAACCTTTTGTAACAATGTCATGAGCATTAATAATGAAAATAAAGTATTTTCACCTTTGAAATGCTTTGAAATATGTCTGTAATTATACCAAGTTAAATCCTGTATATTTCATAAGGTTATGTAATTCTTTATATAAGTGAGAACAACACACATGAAAAAATTAGATGGATAACTGATAGGAAAGTGTGTTACCGGTTGACCTAATACTGTGACGGTGTCACTGGGCCAAAATTTGGATGAGAGCAATCCTGATAAATACACAAATTGATTTTCTAAAACAGTAGTTTGAGAGTACAAATCTGAACAGTAAAGATTCCTACTCAGTGATGGGTGAGGCTGTGTAAACTATAACCTTTGGCCCAGCCAAAGCCTAAACTCACACCATCAAGAAACATCACAAACTGTTCACAATTTTACTACTATTTACTATAAAACAACTGGAAAATTTATCAATTGGAAATATTGAGTTTTTAGAAATGAAAATTTTATTTTCACATGACAGAGTGATGAATATTAAAATATCCTATGTTATAACACAATTCCTGTAACATGAATATATGATGGTGATAAAATTATATTGTGAAAATAGATCTAATGGTGTCAGTGATCTATAGCTGCTTGCTGGAGATTTTTTATCTACATTAGCCTGTTTTGTAGTCATAAGAAATTAAAACAGTTCTCAACTAGCAATACATTTCCAAAATCTTATCAACTGAATATGAAATACTAAATGTACATTCATATCTTTAATCTGAAAGTAGTTTTTTGTGTTGCATTAAAATTTAAAAGTAATTAGTACAGTATAGTAAATGTCTTAAAATGTTTCAGTTATCCCAAATTATGCTAAATCTTGACTAGCAAGATAAAACCATAGCACACAATAATATATAATGTCAACAAATCTATTCTACAAACAAACACTAGGGAAGACATATATCACTAATGCTTACAGAGAGAGTAACAATAAGAGAAGAAATATGACTTAATTCAAGTGTTTTGTATTAAGAATACAAAACACATTAATCTTTTGTACAAGAAAATGTGGTACTACCTAACTACAAGCCAATAAGAACCCTGAAGGTTTAAGTACTGTATCATCTTGGCAGAACTGATGCAAGGAAAACAGCCAAGAAGTAGAGAGCAATTTGGAATATCACAACCATGGAATATGGAGTGCGGGTTCCCTTTATTACCCACATTTAAGGGAAATTAAGGCTTACAAACTATGGCATGCATTAAGGTAGATCTGGCTCGGCAGAGACGAGGCAGGTGAACTTGACCACACAGATGTTAGATGCTCAGATTATGAAGCATACGACGATGTTTCATGGCCTGAACCACCAAGGATGGGCCCCTCTGCAAAGCCACCATCGTGACCAAAGCCACCATCGTGACCAAAGCCGCCACCTTGCCCAAAACCACCACCTTGGCCAAAGCCACCTTCGAGGCCAAAACCACCACCACCTGGTGCACCATAAGATGTTGGAGGAGGACCATAAGAAGCTGGGGGAGGGCCATAAGACTGAGGAGGAGGACCATATGAAGGTGGAGGTGGACCATAGGAGGGTTGTGGTACTGGGGCAGCAATGAAACCACCACCACCACCACCACCACCACCACCTTTGCCCTTACCTTTTCCCTTGCCTCCCCCAAAACCTCCCTTTCCACCTCCAAAACCTCCTTTGCCCTTGCCTGAGACAACAGGTGCTGAGGCAACGTAAGCTGGGGCAGGGGCTTTGTATGAATGGCCATAAACAGGAGTTTCATAATAGATGTATTCTGGTTCCTCATCATAGCTGACTGTGGGATAAAGAAACAGATAGGTTAGTTTTTAATGTCATAATGGCAACCAGTATATGTAACTAATATGAAAGTATGTTATTACATTGTACAGTAGACCGTAGTTTAACAGTTTTGTTTGGCACGTTTTGGTTATAGCACGATTGAAGAATTGCGGCATATTTTTGTATAACACTGTAAAATTAACTTAACATGGTTCAGTTTGTGGGAGGGGAAAAAATTTGAAGCGCACGTCACCCATGGGATACACTCTGCTCGGCTGTGGGTTAGACCACTGAATCAACGGGGGAGACCTACTGCCATCCTCCGCCACCCTCCACCACTCCCACCACACTTGTCCGAGCCGGTTCATACGAGGCTGGGACACTGGTTTTTCCTTGCTTGAGAGTTAGGTTCAGGAAATTGTTCAGCTGGCAAGGAGATTACCAGGTGATGGTTTTGAAGATATCAGTGAAGATGTGAATGAGCTCTTAGATGATGATGATGATGATGATGATGATGATGAAGACAGGAGTCCAGAGGAAATGTTGGCAGAGCTCGATGCACAGATACAAGGAAGCCACGTAACAGAAGATGAAGAAGCCGAAGAAAAACGGTTAACACTGCAGCAGTTATGTGAGCAGTTCCATATTATTGGTAAAGTTGCAGATTTTTTCACCGAAGAGGACCCTGACAAATCTAGAAGCAGTGCTTTGAAATGGGATCTAGACCAGCTGATGATGCCTTACTGTCAGCTGTATAACGTACTGCAGGGTAAAAGAGCCCAGAGATCCATAACAGAATTTATGCACTCTCCAATACAATCATTGACTTTAGTACCAGAACCTCTACCATCCACTTCTGCTGACAACCAATAACCATCCATCTCAGCCCAGTAGGGCCACACCATGCATATCCACTCTACACTATCATCCACAAACACCATTACCCACAATTTAAGGTAGGAAATGCCATTATTTCTATTGCATTTGTAGTCTTAGGCAGTAATATATCACGACAATAAACTACAGTTACATATTCACTTTTATTTTAGTAAGATCTGTTGGTCTAAAAAAAAAATTGTTTGGTATTTTGGGGGCTCCCGGGAACGTAACCCAGTTTTAACTAACATGGCGTTTTCAGAACGTAACTACCGTGTTAAACGACGGTCTACTGTACTTAAAATGAAAAATGAAACTTACACAAGCCTTTAATTTTCTTTGAGGCCTCCTCCTCCCACTTTGAGACTTGTTCTTTTGCCTTGGCCCAGCCTTTAGCTATCTTCTTTCCTAAAGATTCCTCTTCCTCATAGTCATCAACAGGGACAGGTATGGCTTGGTATGAGGTGTGATACTCAGTATGACCATAAGATTGGGCAGGTGGGCCATAAGATTGGGCAGGTGGGCCGTAAGATTGAGATGGAGCACCATACGATGACACTGGTGCAGCAAAACTGTATGTGGGTTCAACGTAGGTATCTTCAACATTGTAGTCAATGTAGTCACTCACTGCAAAGAATTAATAAAAATGAAATATACAATACATGTACTGCTGAAGTATTGCAAGCAGCGCCTGTCAATAACCAAATCCTCTATGTGCTGAATGTATCCTTCCATGTAACTTCCATTCAGTTTATCCAAAGTCAGAACATCTCATACTGTGTTAATTTAGTATCTTTATTATGTACCCCAAACTCAACCTATGGGTCCATACTGTGATGTGAATGGGAGTAGTTTCACCAACAAAATTCAAACGTATAATAGTGTTAGATGGAATACAGTATAGCATGTAACAAGGGAGTTAGAAAGAAGGAATGTAAAGATGGGTGGTGAGAATTGACTAAAGAAAATGACTCACAATTACCTCATATTATAAATTTGCCTCACAAAGCATGTCTGAACAGAGTAACAACAGTAGGGTAAGCTTGTCATATCTCAAATATGCAACTAATTTTTTAATATAGTACATATGCCTAGTATTAAAATAGTGAAACTTGATAAAACCTAGAAAATGTACCTAAAGAGATCAGGGATGGCTCCAAAGTTTTATTAAGGAGGGGTTTAGGGACAGCAATATGACCGGAATAGGGGCCAGAGACTTGTCTTGAAGCACTGTTGTTATTGTTATTATTTTTATTATTTAAGGGCTTCACACCCCTCTTTGCCACCATCCCTGAACAGATGTGGGAACTGAAGAGAGTTGAGCTATGTAAAAAAAAAAATGAGAGAGTGACCCTTTGTCTGTTGAATGAAGGAAATTTGATGATGAAAAAGACACGTATATAACAAACAGGTGACTTTATTGAGAGATGTTTTGCCCTCAATGTAAGTAAGTAAGTAAGTTTATTCAGGTATACACAAATACAGTTACATATAATTATCGTACATAGCAGCATATGTGTAGAGAACCTAGGATAACCCAAAAAAGTCAGAGGCCTTTTAACGGGGAGCCAATAAAAGGAGTGAAGTAGATGTGGTCACACGTGGATGGAGACCATAAGTGGAAGCAGGTCAGCGATACGTCTCTATTAGACTGATGAAATCGGTGGTGAGCAAAACTTCTCTTAATAAAAATACATACCCGGAACAGGAGATTCCTAGGTCTTAATAAAGATACCGAAGTGTTGTACATGTGTCTTATTCATCATCTTGTTAGTATGATATTCCCTTGATGTAAAGGTAATATGATAATGACATAAAAAATACTTAATGGTATAAACAAGCCTATTTTTACTAGAGAACAATCAAGAACAAGAGTAAAGAAGAGGACAATAATATAATGGGAGTATCCATTATATTAAGAAGCAGAACCAATAGGTATTTGCAGCACCACAGAGGGAGCTAAAGCCTCCCAGACGCAAATACGTTTTCTTCTTCAGTTAGCTGTAGATTTTCATAATTACAATGACCAGTGACCACAAAAGCACGATAGTTTAAGAAATTTCACCGACAAAATAAAAAACATTTTTAAAACAATTTCTTTGTTTTCAGCATCTTATGATTTTAATCCCTTCCAGATGGGAGGGATTAAAATTTTGGCTGCGTCACTGTTTCTTCCCCCTTTTCCAAGAAATTCAAACAGGTAATTACATTGGTAACCTGTGGCTCAGTGGTTAAAACAGTCGGTATACACCAGAAAAGACTAAGGTTCAATTCCCTTCGAGGGTCGTGCCTTGATCCAAGGAAAAGGAACTAGAGTTACCCTCTACATTGAATTAAAGCCCATTACTTCCCTTTGTCCAGATGCTGAATTACCGATCCAGTTTTAGCACTTCCTCATCAAGGCCTCTTCTGTCAAAACTTGTGGTACCGAACAAGCAGAAGCCTACCTGGAGTTTACCTGGAGAGAGTTCCGGGGGTCAACGCCCCCGCGGCCCGGTCTGTGACCAGGCCTCCTGGTGGATCAGAGCCTGATCAACCAGGCTGTTGCTGCTGGCTACACGCAAACCAACGTACGAGCCACAGCCCGGCTGATCAGGAACTGACTTTAGGTGCTTGTCCAGTGCCAGCTTGAAGACTGCCAGGGGTCTGTTGGTAATCCCCCTTATGTGTGCTGGGAGGCAGTTGAACAGTCTCGGGCCCCTGACACTTATTGTATGGTCTCTTAACGTGCTAGTGACACCCCTGCTTTTCATTGGGGGATGGTGCATCGTCTGCCAAGTCTTTTGCTTTCGTAGTGAGTGATTTTCGTGTGCAAGTTCGGTACTAGTCCCTCTAGGATTTTCCAGGTGTATATAATCATGTATCTCTCCCTCCTGCGTTCCAGGGAATACAGGTTTAGGAACCTCAAGCGCTCCCAGTAATTGAGGTGTTTTATCTCCGTTATGCGCGCCGTGAAAGTTCTCTGTACATTTTCTAGGTCGGCAATTTCACCTGCCTTGAAAGGTGCTGTTAGTGTGCAGTAATATTCCAGCCTAGATAGAACAAGTGACCTGAAGAGTGTCATCATGGGCTTGGCCTCCCTAGTTTTGAAGGTTCTCATTATCCATCCTGTCATTTTTTTAGCAAATGCGATTGATACAATGTTATGGTCCTTGAAGGTGAGATCCTCCGACATAATCACTCCCAGGTCTTTGACGTTGGTGTTTCGCTCTATTTTGTGGCCAGAATTTGTTTTGTGCTCTGATGAAGATTTAATTTCCTCATGTTTACCATATCTGAGTAATTGAAATTTCTCATCGTTGAACTTCATATTGTTTTCTGCAGCCCACTGAAAGATTTGGTTGATGTCCGCCTGGAGCCTTGCAGTGTCTGCAATGGAAGACACTGTCATGCAGATTCGGGTGTCATCTGCAAAGGAAGACACGGTGCTGTGGCTGACATCCTTGTCTATGTCGGACATGAGGATGAGGAACAAGATGGGAGCGAGTACTGTGCCTTGTGGAACAGAGCTTTTCACCGTAGCTGCCTCGGACTTTACTCTGTTGACGACTACTCTCTGTGTTCTGTTAGTGAGGAAATTATAGATCCATCGACCGACTTTTCCTGTTATTCCTTTAGCACGCATTTTGTGCGCTATTACGCCATGGTCACACTTGTCGAAGGCTTTTGCAAAGTCTGTATATATTACATCTGCATTCTTTTTGTCTTCTAGTGCATTTAGGACCTTGTCGTAGTGATCCAATAGTTGAGACAGACAGGAGCGACCTGTTCTAAACCCATGTTGCCCTGGGTTGTGTAACTGATGGGTTTCTAGATGGGTGGTGATCTTGCTTCTTAGGACCCTTTCAAAGATTTTTATGATATGGGATGTTAGTGCTATTGGTCTGTAGTTCTTTGCTGTTGCTTTACTGCCCCCTTTGTGGAGTGGGGCTATGTCTGTTGTTTTTAGTAACTGTGGGACGACCCCCGTGTCCATGCTCCCTCTCCATAGGATGGAAAAGGCTCGTGATAGGGGCTTCTTGCAGTTCTTGATGAACACAGAGTTCCATGAGTCTGGCCCTGGGGCAGAGTGCATGGTCATGTCATTTATCGCCTGTTCGAAGTCATTTGGCGTCAGGATAACATCGGATAGGCTTGTGTTAATCAAATTTTGTGGCTCTCTCATAAAAAATTCATTTTGATCTTCGACTCTCAGTCTGGTTAGCGGCTTGCTAAAAACTGAGTCATATTGGGACTTGAGTAGCTCACTCATTTCCTTGCTGTCTTCTGTGTAGGACCCATCTTGTTTAAGTAGGGGCCCAATACTGGACGTTGTTCTCGATTTTGATTTGGCATAGGAGAAGAAATACTTTGTGTTTCTTTCGATTTCATTTATGGCTTTTAGTTCTTCCCGCGATTCCTGACTCCTAAAGGATTCTTTTAGCTTAAGTTCGATGCTTGCTATTTCTCTGACCAGTGTCTCCCTACGCATTTCAGATATATTAACCTCTTTTAGCCGCTCTGTTATTCTTTTCCGTTCCCTTTAAAGGGAGCGCCTGTCTCTTTCTATTTTACATCTACTCCTCCTTTTTCTTAGAGGAATAAGCCTTGTGCATACATCAAGTGCCACCGAGTTAATCTGTTTTAGGCATAAGTTGGGGTCTGTGTTGCTTAGTATATCTTCCCAGCTTATATCGGTTAGGACTTGGTTTACTTGGTCCCACTTTATGTTTTTGTTATTGAAGTTGAATTTGGTGAATGCTCCCTCGTGACTAGTCTCATTATGTCGGTCTGGGGCTCCACGCATACATGTCTGAACCTCAATTATGTTGTGATCTGAGTATATTGTTTTTGATATGGTGACATTTCTTATCAGATCATCATTGTTAGTGAAGATGAGGTCTAGTGTATTCTCCAGTCTAGTAGGCTCTATTATTTGCTGGTTTAAATTGAATTTTGTGCAGAGATTTAAAAGCTCGTGTGAGTGTGAGTTTTCATCAGAGCTGCCTCCTGGTGTTATTACTGCAACAATATTATTTGCTATATTCCTCCATTTTAGGTGCCTTAAGTTGAAATCCCCCAGGAGCAAGATGTTGGGTGCAGGAGCTGGAAGATTTTCCAGACAGTGGTCAATTTTTAACAGCTGTTCCTGGAATTGCTGGATGTTGCATCCGGAGGCTTGTAGACTACCACAATGACTAGGTTTTGGTTCTCGACCTTTACTGCTAAAACTTCCACTACATCATTTGAGGCATTAAGCAGTTCTGTGCAAACAAGTGACTCTGCAATGTACAGGCCAACCCCCCCCCCCTTTTGCCTGTTCACTCTGTCACATCTGTATAGGTTGTAACCTGGGATCCATATTTCGTTGTCCAAGTGATCCTTTATGTGGGTCTCAGTGAAAGCCGTGAACATTGCCTTTGCCTCTGCAAGCAGTCCACGGATGAAAGGTATTTTGTTGTTTGTTGCTGGCTTTAGACCCTGTATATGTGCAAAGAAGATTGTTATCGGACTGGTGGTATTGTTGATACTAGGGGGGGGGATTTTTTTTCCGGCATTAGTATCTGTATCTGTTGGTTTGGAGTGGAGGCCATCGACTGTGGTTCCACTCCAGGAATGACTGGATTTGGTGTACGATTTCTGCCATTTCCTGCCAGTTTTTTTTTCCTTCCTGGCACTAAAAAACCTCTCCCTCTTGAGTGGCTGTGGCTACCCAGGTTTTCCCATGGCCTGGATGTTTTGTATCTTTTTGTCCCCTTTAGATGGTATGCCTGGCAATTTAAGTTATAGCACAGTCTTTCCTGTACTGAAGAGGTACACAGTTCAGGGTGAAAAAGCTTACAGGAAGGGAGTTTGCATTTTCCTGTTGTCATATGGGCATGGCATTTTCTAGGGTGGTCATAGTTGCACGTCCCATCTGTTTTTCCAGATTTCCCATGCCAGCAGATACCAAGTGCATAGTATGTGCACAGGCTTGGTTTCCGTTTGCCTTGGGTTTCTGTGACTGTATTCCCTGTTGGTGCATGTTTCCCTGTCTTACTTCTATCCTCCCTAGCACCAACAATGGAGCTCCCACCAGTTGTTTTTGGTAATATATCCTCACTATTGCTAGTGGAGTCCTCTTGTTTGCTATTTCCTGCGGTATTCCTAGGGCTCAGATGGAGGGTATTTTAGTACTGACTGGGATATTACTGTATTTACAGGCAAGTGCTAAACCCAAAAGGTCATGCAGCCTACCGAACTCAAGGTAATTAGGTTTGACCAAAGGAAGAGGAGGGCAGCTCCATTTCCTCGGATCACAAGCTTTGCATGAGCAGGGTAACTCACGTGAAGGGTTAGGATAGTATACAGACGGAGGTGGGAATTTCGGTTACCGTTGCTCCTTTCAACCTGCCTCTTAAAATCTTCGTCGAGTTAACAGAAAAAATGTATATAAGTGAAAAGACGTATACGCACACCCGAGTGCCAGGAAATGCATCTTGGCTTTTAAATTAATTGCAATATTTTTGGAATTAAAAAATAAATAGTATTGTGAATTATTATTATGTGAGCAAATTACCTGCAGGAAGTTTACAGGGTATTACCTGAATTATTACCTGTAAGTAATTTGGGTGTGGTAAGTGTGACTTAGTCACAGCATGTCGCTGAACTAACTCCCTCGATGCCCACTCCCTACACTGTCACAAAAAACTAGACCTGACATTAAATTAATAATTACAATATTAAACATTAATACCAATAATAGTAAATTATAAAATAATGTGGATTGTATATGATTAGGCTTTCTGGGTACACAAAATAAATTCGTTTTACCACTTACCATTTAATTACTGGATCATAATTATTTTTTGTAAACACACCCTAACACTGCCTCTACAGCTAGGATTTACGATGGCCAATGCAAAAACTACTATACATTATGGGGAAGTGTCACTTAGCTAAGGTGTGTTGCTGGGAAGGATTGGAGTCCTGGTTGGCGAATTGTAAGGGTTTTCCACACTATTATCCCAGTTCTTCAGCAGGAACATGTCAGCAATTTCTGAATTGTGGATTGAGGCCAATATACACCAAATGACCTTCGAGAATGTCTGATTACATTGCACAATTCAGTCCAGTGTTCACACATTAAATTCAATATGGCGTCTCCTTGCAGCGTCACTTCCCCGGCTGTTCTGCCTGCCCCCCCCCCCCTCACTCGAAATTTCTCGAAGGGTCCAAATAGCATCACATTTTAATACACAATTATTATATTATTCATTTATATATTCTATATTTAGGAAATTATGTAAAAAAATCCACAAATGGTAAAAATATACTAAATACTTCAAGTGCTACTTACTGAATTTTGATAACTTCTTGCCAGCATCTTTAATCATTTTGTCGAGTTCCTTGAGTGGGTTAGTAAGTTTCTTGCCCTTTCCACCTCCAGTTTTATAAGGCCTGGGAATGGCTACATATTGAGTCTGATAGCCTGTGTGGTGGTAAGTCTGTTGTGCAGGATACGCTGGAGGAGGGTAGCCTCCTCCTCCGCCCCCTCCGCCATAGTGAGAAATGCCTATATCGTGTGAAGGGCCGCCATAGACCGGCGCTGGAGCCACATCCTGGCCGAAACTATCGTAGCCTCCCTGACCCACGAAGTGATGTAGTTCTGGTCCTGTAGGAGGTTTGTCAGCCAACACCAGCGTCCCCACCGTCGCCAGCACCACACTCAGCTGTGGAAACAAGAAAACTCTGTTAGTTTATTATATAAAGGGCATAGTGTCTAGTTATCATATTCATAGGGAACCGTAAAATCCGTAAATCTTACAGCATACGGCACGGGAGGTATTCTGATTAAAGGAAGGGAAGGGTAATTCCAATTTCATGGATCATGAACCCTTCACCAGCATTACCACTTCCTTCTCCCTCCTTTGAAGGAATAGTGGCAGAAGCATCCAGAATAACTGCTTGAGCAATGTGATAATAAAAAAATACTTGAAACACAATATTTAGTGAAGTGTCCTTTTACCTGCTGCCTATATTCACCTAGCAGTAAATTAGTATTTAAACATTAGTCGACTGTTTTGTGGTGCATTACTTTGGAGGACCTAAGAACCCTTAAACAATGTTTGACTTTCTTGGGTTATCCTGAGCTATTAAACATCCAGGGCTAATAATTATCAGATTAAGGTCTTTAACTTATTGGTGGTAGTATACCTCAGACAGGGCTAGGCTCAGAAATGAGGTGATGTATGAAAACAAACTAGAATAGCTGTTATAACAGAAATATTTTTAGAGAGAAATGAGGAAAAGTGGTGTGCATGAGTTTAGAGAAAGTTACCGCCTAAATATAATCATAAATGGTTGTGCCTTGAGCGTTGCACACTGTAAGTGCATGGTGAAGGATCACTAACGTGACTGCAGCAAGGAAGTGCTGAAGCCAAATAGTGGGCAGCACGAAGCACACACACTATGAGGTCTCGTATCACCTTGTAACACGAGCATTGAGGTGTATATCTCTATATACAATAAGCTTTCACTTCAATCCCAAATTCAAAGATTAAAGTAATTTTGATTGTGGACAGGTGAACCGTAACCCACTTGTTAATTTTATAAAGTAATTTCCCGCACGCCACAGATGATGATGACAGGTAAGACCCAACAAGTGAGCGAGGGAAGTGGGGGACAGGCGAAGACTAGTGCTGTAGAGGAATGTCTACAGTTGTAGAAAAAGAGCCAGGGCTAGACCCAGCAGCATGGCGTTGTATGGCGATGTAGAATGAGCAGAGAGGCAGAGTGTTCGCCGGCTGACGGGTGACTGGGTCAGGTGATGTTGATGGTGATTGGCTAGGCGTCTGGTAGGCCGGGACTCAGGTCATGTAGTCGTTGGAGACGTTAATTCTTGGAAAGAGATGTTGGGTGTATTTGCTTAAAATTCATCACTAGGTGTGCCAATTTTTAATCCTTCGAAGGCTGTCTTGGAAAGGTGGAACAATTTAAATGTGTTTCTGCGATTATTGATACAAGACGTTAGTCCTTGTATTACGGTTTCTATCGGGATTCTGTAAGGTGGTTTACATGTATATTTTACAGTTCCATCTTTCAGATGAGAGCATAGTTCTTTGCAGAACATATCTGCTGTATGTAGAGGTAGTGTAGAATTATAGGTTTTCGTTATAAATTCTTTCAGTGCAGTGAGGGTTTTTATCCATATCGTCTGTGGTGGCCTGGTGGTTAACGCTCTCGCTTCACACGGCGAGGGCCTGGGTTCGATTCCCAGCCAGAGTAGAAATATTGGGCGTGTTCCCCATCAGTAAAAAATGGGTACCTGGGTGTTAGTCGACTGGTGTGGGTCGCATCCCGGGACACTGACCTAATTTGCCCGAGATGCTCAGCATAACAAGTGGCTTTCTATATAGTAGTATGTCATTGTTGTCAGCTAGGACTGTATACCATGTACATGTACTTGTAGTAAATAAAGATTATTATTATTATTTCTTCTGTAATTCTATCGAGAGGACGCAGGAAGCGTGAATATGCAGTATGGGGTTTGTGGATTTTTTTTGTAGATATTTCGTACATCAGAGACTACCATTGCCTTTGGTAAAGTCCCTGATGTACGAACATGTCAAAAATGCAACAAACTGCAAACTGTGCTTTATTAACATACCTATCCGTATATTCAGCCATTGATTTTATGTTTTCTCTTGCATCTCTATTAGTAGACGTGGTCAGTTCTGTTATTCTTATCCAACGCACTTTTTATAAGATCACATTCTCAGCTCACCCTACTAGAGATATTATTGTGGTCAGCCAAGAAGCACAACCTTAAACAAACAGAGATACCCAGTATTGCTAAATATTAGATAATAATTTATAATATATAATAATTATATAATACAAAATCAGCCTAGTAACACTAACATGATAATAAATTTAATTCCCTCTAAAAATTGAACTGACTCAAAAAATATGTCTAAATAGGAAAGATGTACCTTCGTTCTTTAGTCTCGCTAAGGTAGTGACTCAAGAGCTATGCACTGGTAGCTTCGGGAATGTTACACTCTGGGAGCGCGGGGTACCTACCTGCCCAGTAAATGCCAACTGAACGTCACTTGATAGCCCCAAGGGCATACTAATGCTGGGATAATAATAACATGACTAAGAGGTAACAAGGTAGGAGACTCACTTGTATATAGCATAATCCTTGGCGTGATTGGTTAGTGTATGTACCTTAGATTGGGGGTAATGTCGTCGTGACTGAGTCAGTTCCAGAATATATACCTCAGATTGGGGCAGTGCCGGCATATATACCCACAGCCAAGGCTTAACATGCCAAGTAACCAGAAGGGTATAACAAGAGTGGCCACAAGGAAGACAAAGTGATAATGTGTGAGGATGTCCATGGGGGCGCCTTGATGCTGGTGAAGGACTCTTGACCCAAGCAACTGGAGCTACTCTTTCCTCCCCTCCCTCGCGCCAGGGCGATGTGTGAACCCTCTCATTTCTGAGCGCTCCTTCCTTTTTATAATTATAATGGTAAGAGTGCTATCTGGTGCTGTGGTGGAGGTACCAAGTGCTGTGTCTGGTGCTGTGGTGGAGGTACCAAATGCTGTGTCTGGTACTGTGATGGAGGTACCAAGTGCTGTGTCTGGTACTGTGATGGAGGTACCAAGTGCTGTGTCTGCTGTGGTGGAAGTGCCAAGTGCTGTGTCTGGTGGTGGTGGAAGTGCCAAGTGCTGTGTCTGGTGCTGTGGTGGAGTTGCCAAGTGCTGTGTCTGGTGCTGTGGTGGAGGCACCAAGTGTTGTGTCTGCTGTGGTGGAAGTGCCAAGTGCTGTGTCTGGGGCTGTGGTGGAGGTACCAAGTGCTGTATCTGGTGTTGTGGTGGAAGTGCCAAGTGCTGTGTCTGGTGCTGTCTTGGAGGTGCCAAGTGCTGTGTCTGGTGCTGTGGTGGAGGTACCAAGTGCTGTGTCTGGTGCTGTGGTTGAGGTGCTAAGTGCTGTGTCTGGTACTGTGGTGGAGGTACCAAGTGCTGTGTCTGCTGTGGTGGAAGTGCCAAGTGCTGTGTCTGGTGCTGTGGTGGAGGTACCAAGTGCTGTGTCTGGTGCTGTGGTGGAGGTACCAAGTGCTGTGTCTGGTGCTGTGGTGGAGGTGCTAAGTGCTGTGTCTGGTGCTGTGGTGGAGGTACCAAGTGCTGTGTCTGCTGTGGTGGAAGTGCCAAGTGCTGTGTCTGGTGCTGTGGTGGAGGTGCCAAGTGCGTTCTGTGCTGGGTGAGGTACCATGGTGTATCTGGTGTGGGTGGAAGTGCCAAGTGCTGTGTCTGGTGCTGTGGTGGAGGTGCTAAGTGCTGTGTCTGGTGCTGTGGTGGAAGTGCCAAGTGCTGTGTCTGGTGCTGTGGTGGAAGTGCCAAGTGCTGTATCTGGTGCTGTGGTGGAAGTGCCAAGTGCTGTGTCTGGTGCTGTGGTGGAGGTACCAAGTGCTGTGTCTGGTGCTGTGGTGGAGGTACCAAGTGCTGTGTCTGCTGTGGTGGAAGTGCCAAGTGCTGTGTCTGGTGCTGTGGTGGAGGTACCAAGTGCTGTATCTGGTGCTGTGGTGGAAGTGCCAAGTGCTGTGTCTGGTGCTGTCTTGGAGGTGCCAAGTGCTGTGTCTGGTGCTGTGGTGGAGGTACCAAGTGCTGTGTCTGGTGCTGTGGTGGAGGTGCTAAGTGCTGTGTCTGGTGCTGTGGTGGAAGTGCCAAGTGCTGTGCCTGGTGCTGTGGTGGAAGTGCCAAGTGCTGTGTCTGGTGCTGTGGTGGTGCCAAGTGCTGTGTCTGGTGCTGTGGTGGAAGTGCCAAGTGCTGTGTCTGGTGCTGTGGTGGAGGTACCAAGTGCTGTGTCTGGTGCTGTGGTGGAAGTACCAAGTGCTGTGTCTGGTGCTGTGGTGGAGGTACCAAGTGCTGTGTCTGCTGTGGTGGAAGTGCCAAGTGCTGTGTCTGGTGCTGTGGTGGAGGTACCAAGTGCTGTGTCTGGTGCTGTGGTGGAGGTACCAAGTGCTGTGTCTGGTGCTGTGGTGGAAGTGCCAAGTGCTGTGTCTAGTGCTGTGGTGGAGGTACCAAGTGCTGTGCCTGGTGCTGTGGTGGAAGTGCCAAGTGCTGTGTCTGGTGCTGTGGTGGAAGTGCTGTGTCTGGTGCTGTGGTGGAGGTACCAAGTGCTGTGTCTGGTGCTGTGGTGGTGCCAAGTGCTGTGTCTGGTGCTGTGGTGGAAGTGCCAAGTGCTGTGTCTGGTGCTGTGGTGGAGGTACCAAGTGCTGTGTCTGGTGCTGTGGTGGTGCCAAGTGCTGTGTCTGTGTGTGTCTGTGTGTGTGTGTGTGTGTGTGTGTGTGTGTGTGTGTGTGTGTGTGTGTGTGTGTGGTGTGTGACTCAACAATCAATATTTGCACCAATAACTCATTACAGTTGTGACCGGGTGTGGAAGTGTGAATTGCTCATTACTCTATAATTTGTTCATGATTGTAGCCAAAGTATAAACGTAAGTAACCATTCTACAGAATTCATTACCTTTGTAACTTGTGAGCTCATTACCTTTGTACCTAGTTCAGCTATCAAAACTTTGGGGGCCCAGTCCCTGGACCCATTACGTACCTCTGTAATCTGTAAATACCTTTGTAACTTGTCATGATTGTGACCAGACTTACCTGGAGTTCATTACCTTTGTAAATTGTGAGTTCATTACCTTTGTAAATTGTGAGTTCATT